CAACTGATTGTTCAGATATGGGAATTTGCGTTATAACCCCTCCATTTATACAGCTAGGAACATGAAATTTCGCACCGTTTTCACCCATTGTTAGCAGAATACTTACAGTGCAAATTACAAAGATAGGGTCGCTATTACATATAGCCTCCATACAACTGTTCAGATGTGAGATTTTTTGTTATAACTTCTCCATTTATGCAGCTAGAGACATGAAATTTCGCTTTATTTTCACTCATTATCAACAGAAAGTTTACAGTAAAATGAACAAAGATCGGGTCACTATAACCTATTTATCTCCTCCATACAACTGATTGTTCAGATACGGGGTTTTACTGTAAAATTCCTTTATTTGCACAGCAAAAATCGATAAATTTCGTAAGCTATTTTATAAATAATAATACAAAGTCTACTGAGAAAATTATCAAAATCTATACTGTATAAGCTTTATCTCCTATACCACTGATTGTTCAGATACCAGTTTTTGCGATATATCCCCTTTATGTAGGAAGCTAAACCCATTAAATTGTGTTACCGGTTTACACACCGATCACACAGCAGTGAAAATCACTTAGATTGGTGCTATATAAGGTATATCTTCCATACCATTGTTTAGATATGATTTTTTACGTAACTCCTCTATCTATGTATTAGAGCGTGTCAGCACGTCTACGATTTGCAGGTTTTGCAGGATTTAGTCCAAAGTCGTTACCGTACGCCAAAAATTCTGTATCTGGGAACACTCTCGTGAGAGGAACTGAGCAACTGTTCCCAGAATGAAGTTTCAAGATTTAGTCCGGAGTTTTTCTTCTGGCAAATTCATGAAAAGTGTCAAACGATAGGTAGAGTTGCATTTGTGTACAAAAACAGAACGCGGTGAAAGCAAATAACCTTACATTTGTTAGAAAATGGAAGTAAATAATGAAATATTCGAATATATATGCAATTATTATTAATTATATAGATTTTAATAGTTATTTAGTGATCTTTCAGCCAAATCAGTCTTGTACTAATGACAAGTAAACAAACCAAATGACGTTTTTGCTGGAAAAAGTGCTTTTTGCGTTCCCGTACACTTCTGCCTCTGTTCTCCTGTTACTCTCACTAGAGAGAGTAAAATTGTAGTTTGACATTTCCACACGTTTTAGTCCGAAAAGTACTGGAACAAACTATATGCTGTGAATGTATAAAAACCGGACACTTGGCAACCCTGTTTTACATATATATGTATGTCTTTGGCAGCTTTTTCGTTCAAATACGCTTCCATTCTGCACTTCCCAGATGCTTTTTCATAGATTGGAATATAAAACAAAAATTTGTGTTAACATTTTAACATATTGGGATCATCTGGAGTCCAACCAACAACAGCAAGCACCACTGCAAACTCAGCCAAAGCCAAATGTATGTAAACGTAAATTTCTTACAATCATTCAAACAAATTTAGGGCCAATTTCATAATAAAACATTTAAAGTGTCTTTTACAAAAGTTTCCTTTTAGTTAAAGTGTAATTTAAACGTACTTTAAACAAGAAGTGTTTTCATAATACAATGGCAATTGAATAATAACAAAACGTTCAATTAAATGAAAATAACAAAGTTGGCAATGCTAATCTCGGCAAAATTGCATCAGCTGATAGTCATAAATATGTAATTATGCCACGAAAATTACATGTTTTTTTACAAAAGGGACCTTCATGTCATTTAAATTTCCATTTTGGGTCTTTAACTAAAGAGCACCTTTATCTTTAAAGTGGCTTTATGAAATTGATCAGCAAAATAAAGCATCTTTTAAATTTTTAAATATTTTTAAATTTTATTATGAAATCAGTTCTTAATTTCAAATTATAAACAGATTTCTTTGAAAATAATTTAAATTCGCACACATGAAAGATCCAAAATGATTGAAAAATCATGGTACATTTTTCTTTCGACTGTAGATTTTAGAATTGGTTCGGAACTATAAAATTTAGGACTAGTTCAGAACTATCGATAAAGGGATGCAACGTGGGCAATTGGCACTTCCTAGGACATCGCCAGTAGTTTGCATGCAAAAGAGATTTATCGCGAACCAGTACTGGGTCTAAGTGTACTAGAAGCGCACCAGTTCAGAACTGGAGATTTTCCTCACAGGGAATGTACACACACGCACACTCACGCAAGGAACCATTCCATTTATTAGTAAGCCGGCTGTACAAATACGCGAAAGTCTTTTAATTACGCGCCATTAAAGCAGCAGCGCCCGCCCAAGCACCAACGGAGGAGAAACACAGCGAATCGGAAAGGAACGGCAACGGCGGCTGATAGAAAGAAAAGCATGAAAGCTTATGAGCAATTGGAGTATGCTACAAGCACAGTATATACAGTATTAAACCTTTTCCCAGTTTTTCACCAATTGGTCCCCGAGGAGTACTTTTGGGTTGTGTGTACCGTTTTCGTTTTTCGCGCACGGCAACACTTGCTGTGGGGAATTTCGCCTCATGATTGGAAAAAGTTCATTAATATATTTCAATTTCGACGATTAAAAATATATAATTAGTTTTAAATATTAAAATTAAAAAAATTCCATTGTAAGATTACATTTTTATTGTGTTTTTAAACTGAATTAATTTTTTTTTTAAGGTCGCGGGTATCTGTTGTGTACCTAAAAAAAAACGTGCATGTGCTTTGGAAAAAATCAACCCTGTGGTGTGGGGAGATGAAACGACAACAGCGACAATGTAAGAAAATTTGACATAAACAAACGGCTGTGAAAGAAAAAACGTGGGTTTTGTGTTATTTTGTGAATTTATCAATTAAAATTGTAAGTTTCCGAATATATTTAAGGTTTTACTCCAAAAGTAAAAACGAAAAGTGTGTATAGCATAGTATAAAGGCAGCAGTTTTCAAGTGTTACTTCTTTTATTTTTGCAGAAATATGCCGAGGCAATGTGTTTGCAAGTGCACCTCCGAGGGAGCTTCTCTTTACAAATTTCCTTCGGATAGAGAAATATCCAGGTAAAACTTTTGAAGTGATTAAGGATATAATTCATTATTTAAATGCATTGGCACGTGGCACACATAATACAACATGTACGTCAAATAAAAAACGCGTGCAAAATGGTGTACAAATTTAAGAACGGACCGCCTTATTGTGGGTTTTATTGTTTGTTTATTTGTACATCATGATTCATGAAGATTGTAAAAGTTGAAGTTTTTAACTGAACTAGCTTAGCTAAATAACTTTGGACCATGACTCACGTACATAATTCAAAGTTATACGAGCGAACGCGATGTGCTCTTTATGCAGGTATCAGAAGTTTTAGGGCCAGTTTTTCATTGCCAGTTTAAACTTAGATCACGTAAACTGAGTTCAAATTGAACAGCTAGCTGACATTTGATTTGATAATCTTATTTAGTCAGCTCGAGCGTTTAAACTAAGTTTAAACCACAGCCGTGAACTGAAAAACTGGCCCTCAGTCTTCCTGAACCTCAGATGTTGATATGCATATCAGAGAATCAACTCTCGTCCTGTGAAAGCGTGAAGTAAAAATATGTTTCATCAAATCAAATCTTTTGTTGTTGCGAAAAGAAAATGTAGATTTTTTGTTTAGAAAGACCTGGTAAAGAGTAATATGGAAAAGTCTTTAATTATCGAGAATCATTTATAACGCCAAATTGAAAAAGTATAGTTTTCACTCACTTGAAATCTTCATTTTCACTTCACCATTACACAAAATGAGAATTGGCTCTTGCTTTCGCTCATTGAGAACAAGATAAATAATCACCCATGGTACATGGTATTTATGTGCCTTGATAATCACCATTAATTACCATTCTCAAATTATTACAATTTACATATGTATATAAAATCTGATGATTTTTTCTGTTTATTCTTTTATCCATCGACAGGATTTCGGGCTTTCGGACGGGAATGGCGCGTGTTTAAGCAAATTTTTTCAATAAATAGAATTTAGCTATTCACACCTGCTTGATTTTCGTTTATCTAGTTGTGTAGTTTTATTTTTATTCAGTTGATGACAATCAAATAACCTGAACAAAAAATAATTTACAACTAGTTAACCTTATTACCGGGATGGTATGATTATCTTCAATATCTTGTAAGAAAATGCTGCTTATATTAATATATGTAATAAACGTTTCATGACGATTCAGATATTTTAGCTTTTTCTTTTTATTCCTTTTTTATTCTTTATTTTAACGTTTCGGGAAAATCTTTCATGTATTCCAAAATATTATTTCCTGATAATTTTTGTTTTATTTTCATACGTTGTGTTTTTATTTTATTTTTTT